TGGCTTAGTTGAAATCAGGCTTTTCTGGGTATGTGCAGCCAGACCTTTGGATGATAGCATTGGCTGCATAACAACCGGCTCTCACACAATCTTCAGTGGGCTTGTCCTGAACCAGCTGGGAAAGAAATCCTCCGACAAATGCATCACCTGCAGAGAAAATATAAAGATGTTAACAATGATTCTGTTTAGGGGGTTTGACGGTGTTTTTGGCCTACTGAAACACATATAAAGGAAAAAGGTGAATCTTTACTAGAGTGACCAACGTCACTCGGTTTATGGGTCAAGTTCATATGTTTTTATACAATTTAATATCAAAAAGATGCATTAATTTCATTTTAAGACACATATTAAAAAATAACATATTTTTTAACAACAATTATTTAAAAAAATTAAAGTTGTAACTTTAAATTATATCGTTTTATTTAATTAAAATTTAATTTAAAATTTAAAATTTATTTTATTAAATATTAATATTTAAATTTAAATAAATTTCTACATTTTAAATTAAAATTTTACTTTTTAACTATAAGTTGAGATTTTACAAATTTTTAAAAAATTAAAATTTATACCCACTAACCTCTAATTCTTAATACAATTTAATTCCACAGTTGGATTTAACAAAGGCTTGAAGTGGACAGGCATGATTGGGTTTCATTTTAAGAGTTTAGATTAGCCTACAAATCTTGATCTGATCTTGTTCGCATTCCGTGATCCTGTTCGGAAATCCAGCAATACCGAACAAGATCAAGGACAGTGGAAATTGTAATTAATGCGGATCTTGAAATTGCAAGCTGGTTTAAATTAGACTGGAGTGGTTTTAATGAAATCATCAAGCATTCAAGCATTTAAATGAGAAAAATTATAATGTCTTAGGGGCCTGTTTAATATAGCAATTTTGTTTAAATCATTAAATATAAGTGTTTGGTAAATTTATATATTTCGAAATCGTTATAAATAAAGTGTTTGGTAAAATTTTTATTGAACGGTTTGAGAGTAGCAGATAATCATTAGGGTTCAAATTGTTAACAGATTAAAAAAATTAATTTATGTAGCTTTTTATACCAAATCGCTAGTATTTTAAAATTTTTTAATTTTATTGACAAATTTATTTATTTTAATTTTTTAATTTGTGGTCACATTTTTTAATTAATAATTATCTAATAAATTTCAATTTTGTTTTTTTACCTTTAATAACATTAA